ATAAGAAGTATATGTGATTATTAAAAAAAAAAAAGATAAAATTTGCATTTTGTGGAGGATACAATTTTTGGGGATTTTAAAACAATGTACTAAAACATTAAAAGTAATAAGTTCAAATCTGTAGCAAATATAAATATTGTAATCATTTCTTATAAATACCATTTCCTAATGTAATTTTCCAAGATATTAAAGATCATAATGCAAAAAAACTAAATTTATTAAAAGTAATAGGCTTTATGTTTCTTAAACTACCTACATTTGTCAAAGTACTTGTGAATTTTCACTAGTTTTATTGTTGGAATGAAATATAGCAAGACTTGCATTGCCTACTAAGAAAGTTAGTAGCCGGTAGTCATCGGGTTAAGGTACACTTACTACATTAAGAGTTGTAGTTTGCATAGTTTTATAGTTATGAGGTGGTTACAAGATCAGACAAAATAAGTGAGCTCAATTTCAAAGAGTTAAATGAGGCAAGTTTGAATATGTCTGAACAAGCCAAAAATAGGAATATTAGTCTCATGTAAGAATATTTAGTTAGTTAAATGTAATCAATTAATGAGCCCAACAATTAATCAAATATCAAATCGTCTTATCCTCCAGCTCTAATTACAGTCAAATAAATATATGTGTGGTGACTGCAAGGACACATAAGCTGGCAAGACAAATGCCAGTTAAAAATATGTACCTATGAACATATGGAACTGGTCAAAAACTAATAATTTTTCCTTCCTCTCCAAAGAACTACACTTAGAAGAGTACAAACATTACATCTGTATAAATAACTTTGGTATCAGGCTCATCTAACCAGGAAATTGTCATAGAAACAATCTGTTAACATCCTGTTAATGCTACAAACTTAACAATAACCAAAGTTCATACCAGTTACTACAATTTCAATTTTGATGTTTGTTTTTAGTGCCTATTTGAAATATGTATAATGCTACTTGTATGTTGTTTTATTTCTTTAATTTTATTATGTTACTTTGAATTATGTATTGAAAACAATGTATCACAATTATGTATGAATCAGTACCATCTTTGATGTATTAAAGATCACTGATAATTGGATATGTACATCTCAAACATCTGAACATTAAATATTATATCAATCATTGCTGTGATTTTCCCTTTCACCTAATAAATTTAACCCTTTCATTCAGTAGTTATTAGTTTTTACTCAACTCTTATAGGACTATTTATTCTTATATTCAGTAGGTATTAGTTATAATTTGTTTCTTAACTAGCATTAAACATCACTCACCATGAAATAATATTACTTTCAGTAAATTGATGGGTTATTTTGCATGTGATTGGTTTAAACTATTTGTTGGTTTTTTGTTTTGTTTTTTACTATTTCATTCTTGTTTATCTAAGAATTTATTATATTGTCATATTTTACAGCCAATTTTCTTGAATGAGATTATGATAATAGAGAATTTTCAAGATGATACAATGTTCCAAATTTGCCACACTGAAAGGACATTCTGCTTAAAAGCTGTGAACAGCAATGAAAGGTTAGAAACTAGACTTATTTTTCATGTTTGTGAGGCAGGTGTCTTTATTGTGAACACTTTAAACTGAAATGTTAATTTGAAAAAGGAAATTTGTATTTTTACACTTTTTTAATACATTTACACTTTCTCATAGCCTCTATTTTTAATTTGAAGTATGAAAGTAAATAAAATCTCATGGAATCAGGACTGATGTACTTATAATGGTTTTATTTATAATTTTAACATAATTTATTATTAATAAAGAACACACTAGTGCAACGATGGTTTATTTGTTCACATTCTTCTTAATTAGTCTAGACAGCAACATGTGACAGAATAGAAGTACATTTAAAATGCTGGTTTTTCATACTTCATTTGGTATCTGTAATGGACTAATTAAGGAGAATGTATGTAAAATAATCTGCAATCTACCATGATTTTTATCACATATATTCAAGTTACTGGTGTCACTGTTGTGTCTTGTTTTTTTGTTTTTAAAACTGTGTCATTATAAATTATTAATGTCTTGGAAATTCCTTTATTAGCCTAATAACCCTTCTTGCTCTGATACCTTATTGTTTTTTGCCTCATGGAAGTATTATTGTCTTTTTTTTTATAATTACTTTTTCTTTACTTAATAATACTCCTTGATAAAAGTTACTATCACTCAAGCTGTTACTGTTTTTTGGGGGGATGTTTTTTATTAACAATATTACTCTCTGTATTATTATTATTTAGAGAACAATTAATTTTTTACTTCTTTTCTCCAATGTTATTGTCCTGTTTTTCATTGTAACATTTAGCATATTTTTCGGTGTATAAGATGCACTTTTTACCCCAAAATTTGATGTCAAAATCTGCTTGCGTCCTATACAACGAAGGTATGAATAATATATATGTATATATACGATATACACGAGCCATGTGTAAATATATTTAAATAGGCATGCATAGTTTAGTTCAATTGAATGTGTTATTTATAACAATAGTAGTTTTTTTCTTTTAAAAACTCTCTGTATTATTATTTAGAGAACAATTAATTTTTTACTTCTTTTCTCCAGTGTTATTATCCTATTTTTCATTGTAACATTTAGCGTATTTTTCGGTGTATAAGATGCACTTTTTTACCCCAAAATTTATGTCAAAATCTGCTTGCATCCTATACACCGAAGGTATGAATAATATATATGTATATATACGATATACACGAGCCATGTGTAAATATATTTAAATAGGCATGCATAGTTTAGTTCAATTGAATGTGTTATTTATAACAATAGTAGTTTTTTTCTTTTAAAAACATAACTATTTATAAAACCCCCCAAAAAAAAAAAAAATTATAGTAATGAATGAGAGTG